TCTTTATGATTTCCTTACAAAAAAGTATTATTTTACCTGCTTCATATATGAGGAATATTTGCTTCATCTTCGACAAATCAATATAGAGGATAAACATAAGAATCAGAAAGTTCTGAGGATGTTACAGATGGTTTATAATTACTGATCTGCCCTCCCTAATGTTATCAACCCAGGGGCTAGTCTGCTCATTGCTTAATGGTGCTTTAAAATTACCTGAATATAATTTCATTGCTTTTTTTTTTTAAATAATGCTGAGAATTTAATTGGAGTAGCTAATCTTCATACTTTGAAACTTTTTAAGCTTTTATAATTTGTTATAATTACAGTTTTTATAGATTTTATCTTAAAATTACAGTGAATACTCTGTTAACAAATGGGAATGTACAAGTTGTTGTGAAAAGTGTCTTGGTTAAGAGTATTAAGTATTCGTAGTATTATCTTTAGTGAGATAATTGAAATTTTAAAATCAATAGTTATGGTCAAGGACTTTAAAATGACCTTATTTAAAAAGTTTTCTCCTTCACTATTAAACTTTGGGCTTTTACATTTTCTCTTAGATCGATAAAGAGGAAGTTTCACTTCGAAGAGTTATTGGTGCCAAAAAGGATCAGTATTTCTTGGACAAGAAGATGGTCACGTAAGCATTTTTCTTTTTAAAGAAATGAATGTGTACTTAAATAGAGATGGGGTGTTGCTATGTTGGCCAGGTTGGTATTGAACTCTTGGCCTCAAGTGATCCACCTTGGCCTCCTAAAGTGCTGGGATTATAGACATGAGCCATCACGCCCAGCCAGCATTTTTCTTTCTTTTTCCTAGTATGGAGTCTCACTCTGTTGCCCAGGCTGGAGTGCAGTGGTGCAATCTCAGTTCACAGCAACCTCCCCCTCCCTGGTTCAAGCTATTCTCCTGCCTCAGCCTCCTGAGTAGCTAGAATTGCAGGCACGTGCCACCACACCTGGCTAATTTTTGTATTCTTAGTAGAGATGGGGTTTCACCATGTTGGCAGGCTGGTCTTGAACTCTTGACCTTGTGATCTGCCTGCCTTGGCCTCCCAAAGTGCTGGGATTATAGGCATGAGCCACTGCCCAGTCGCATTTTTCTTTATGATTTCCTTACAAAAAAGTATTATTTTACCTGCTTCATATATGAGGAATATTTGCTTCATCTTCGACAAATCAATATAGAGGATAAACGTTAAGAATCAGAAAGTTCTGAGGATGTTACAGATGGTTTATAATTACTGATCTGCCCTCCCTAATGTTATCAACCCAGGGGCTAGTCTACTCATTGCTTAATGGTGCTTTAAAATTACCTGAATATAATTTCATTGTTTGTCAACAGGAAAAATGATGTGATGAACCTCCTTGAAAGCGCTGGTTTTTCTCGAAGCAATCCTTATTATATTGTTAAACAAGGAAAGGTAAAACAATTGTATGTCCTTTTTTAATAGAATTTGTTTTCTGAGTAATTCTTGAGTGATGAATTTGGTTGATTCGAGTGGTTAAGCTGAAGCAAAAATGGCCGTATCTTTTACATGGCCATAAAGTACCAAATACGTCTGTCCATTGCATGTTGAGATGGAAGTATTTCAGCATATTAAGTGGATCTTGTTTTCCTAGCGACTGGTATTACTTACTGAGGTGAAAGTATGGGAAGACATTATTGGCTTATGAAAGTTGCAATAATTAAGAATATTGTAGGAATTCTATAAAAATCACATTTGAAAAACTTCCTAAAATTAATATTTTGTGTTACCCAGTTATTTATCACAATTAAAATACTGAAAAGCTAACATTACCAGAAATCTGCTATTTTGCTACATGTTATTTTCCCTAATAGGGATTGTGTTTTTTTACATTTTTTCAGCAGCCAAACTACATACTTTTTTAGCTGATTGTTCTGCTCTCTTCTCATGCACTTTCACTTTTTTTGGACTAGGGAAAATTCTCAGAATATTCACTTATTTTATACTGTAGGTTTTTTTTTTTTTGGTATGTATTGGAAAGTTAGCATTCGGAAGAAGTGATTAGGAAGAATATGGAGTTTCAGTTTTAGAAAATGTGGTACTGGAAGAACAAGTTTTTTTCCCGATTTTACTATTTGTGGGAGAGGCATTTTTTTAAATAGAGGCTGATTTGAAAGAGCACTTTTCTGAGATCCCTCTGCTCTCAATGTAGGCGCTTTTAACTTCATCTCAGTTTCTGCCCCTGTGCCATCCTTGATTGCCTCATCTAAAAGCATTGCCTTCCCCTCAACCCTATGTGCTTTATTTTCTTAATCTGTTTTATTTTTCTTCGTAACACTTATACTGTTAATACTTATTTTCTGTCTTTTTCCACTAGAATGTAAGCTCCATGAGGGCGGGACCTTTTCTGCTTTGTTTGCTCTTTTCCAGTGCCCCAGCAGTGGCACATATGTTGTAGTCATTTGATAAATAATTTTTAAGTGAGTAAATTGCTTGAACAAATATGTATAATTGGAGCACGCAATAATGAGGATCTGAAGGATGATTCTTTGATGTAGATACTTTTGATAGACCATATTTTCTTAGAGATAATTTCAATTTTTTAATGCAGTGGTATCATTTTTGATGTTTAGGGATACTTGTTATATATTAAGTTGCATGGCACTTAAGTTGTACCATTCTCTCTATATTTAAAGCATACCATTTTGTCATATCGTTAGCCTTCTGTATCTGTGGGTTCTACATCTGCAAATTCAACCAACCATGGATCAAAAATATTTAAAATAAACAAAATTTTAAAACAGTTCAAGAAATAATACAAATTTAAAACTACAGTATAACTGTTTACATTGCATTTATATTGTGTTACAATTAATCTGGAGATTAAAGTGTACGGAAGGATGTGCATAGGTTTTATGCAAATACTGTGCCATTTTATATGAGGGACTTGAGCATTCTTGGATTTTGGTATCTGCAGGGGGTCCTAGAACCAATTCCCCATGGAAAGTGGGGGAGAATTGTACTGTTAGTATATTATTATAGCTTTAAAAAAAAGTGTAGTCAGTGATGGTTTCCCCTTATAAAAATACTTTGTTTTTTGAGAATGGAGCTCATCTTTTGTACTTATCATATTGACTAAGAAAAAGATGGTGGTGTGAGATAACTCCTTCACTTGTTAGCTCTATTTCATAAAGGAGAATTATGAACGTAACAGTTGTATTTGGATTTTATTTGGTAAATTTAAGTAAAGGAGACATAGATATGTAGGCATATGTGCTATACAAATGACATTAGGCAAATCATAATCTATTTAAAACGTGGCATGTCACAAATTCTAAAGTCTGAAATACAAAATGCTCCACAGTCTGAAACCTTTTGAGTGTGGATGTGACATTCAAAGGAAATGCTTGTTGGAACATTTTGGATTTCAAATTTTTGGATTTGGGTTGCTCAGCTGGTAAGTATAAATGCAAATATTCCAAAACCTGAAAAAATTTAAAATCTGTAACACTTGTGGTTTCTAACGCTTTTGCATAAGGGATACCCAAACTTCATGTGTCTTAAAAACCTTTCAACGTGGAGTTCTTGTTCTTAAACGGAGGCTACAGCTATATAATGATTATTTTTCTAAAAATTTTAGATCAACCAGATGGCAACAGCACCAGATTCTCAGAGATTAAAGCTATTAAGAGAAGTAGCTGGTACTAGAGTGTATGATGAACGAAAGGAAGAAAGCATCTCCTTAATGAAAGAAACAGGTAAAATAAATGTGTTTCTGCCTTATTTTTTTTGTTACAAATTACTGTTTTTGTGACAGAGTAGCTCCATAATAGGAATATAGTAGGATAATGCTGTTATTAATAAAAATTGAGAATCTGTAACACCAATGATGTTAGTAGCTTTTAAAAATATTGTGGAAAGGCACACTGAGTTTTTTTTTTTTTTTTTTTTGAGATGGAGCCTTGCTCTGTCACCCAGCCTGGAGTGTAGTGGTGTGATCTCCACTTATTGCAACCTGTCTCCCAGGTTCAAGTGATTCTTCTGCCTTAGCCTCCCCAAGTAGCTGGGATTACAGGTGCCCACCACCACACCCAGTTAGTATTTGTATTTTTAGTAGAGACAGGGTTTCACCGTGTTGTCCAGGCTGATCTGGAACTCCTGACTTCAGGTGATCGCCTGCCTTGGCCTCTCAAAGTGCTGGGATTACTCGTATGAGCCTCCATGCCCAGCCAGCACACTGACTTTTTAAAAGGAAGCTTAAACTGAGGCCCTTACTACATGTTATAAGAGAACCAGTGTCACCATGTGTAAATTTGTTCTGTGCTGCTTTTCATAATAAAGGATCTTAACCCATTTATGCCTAGCATTCCGTTATTGGAATCCTAAGCTTGTGGGTATTACCTATATCTACTGCCCGAGGTCATCGCCAAGGTCTGATTTTTCACAGAAAAAAATTTACAACCTCCAGCATAAACGGGTTAATTGCTATTTTAGTATTTTAAATTTGGTTACCACATTACATCAGAGAAATAATGCTACAGTTCTTAAGAATTTAATTCAAGGTATGTTGAAGAAGTGATACTACATAAAAATTTTATTCAATTCTTCCATCTCTCTCCGTATTTCGTTTAAGAGGGCAAACGGGAAAAAATCAATGAGTTGTTAAAATACATTGAAGAGAGATTACATACTTTAGAGGAAGAAAAGGAAGAACTAGCTCAGTATCAGAAGTGGGATAAAATGAGACGAGCCCTGGAATATACCATTTACAATCAGGAACTTAACGAGACTCGTGCTAAACTTGATGAGGTAAAATATTTACCTTTGACACTTAAAATCAGATTAATTTTGTTTTTGTGAATTTGTTAAACTCAGGCCGTAATTACACTTTTCAGTGATTTTAAATAGAAACTTAACCTCTCAATGAATTTATTAGTCAGCAAGTTTTTTCTTTTAAAGAAAATAGCCACGTGGTTGTTGCTGTATAGTATCATCTGAAATATAATCAGATGGTGTTATTAGGCAGATGAGAGGAAAATCATTTTGAAGGTTTCTTGTAGTTTTAGAATGTATTTTGTAATTAGTATTGCTGACATTTTGTACAAAAATTTAGGTAGTGCTTCAGTTTTCTAGTTAAAAATCACTTTTAAAATTTTTGTAAAAAATTTGGTTACTTCTGGTTTATTTTCATATAAAAATTGTTATTAGATGTTATGAAATATTTAGTAAATACAAAATGAGTTAGATATAACTTTTTTTTTCTTCTTAGCTTTCTGCTAAGCGAGAGACTAGTGGAGAAAAATCCAGACAGTTAAGAGATGCTCAACAGGATGCAAGAGATAAAATGGAGGTAAGATTCTAAACAAGGTTCATGTAAACTTACTTTTTTCTTTTGAGACAGGGTCTTGTTCTGTCATCCAGGCTGGAGTGCATGGTGCCATTATGGCTCATTGTAGCCTTGACTTACCAGACTTAGGCGATCGTCTTGCCTCAGCTTCTCAAATAGCTGGAAGCACAGGTGTGTACCACCACACCTGTCTAGTTTTTAAATGTATTGTAGAGACAAGGTCTTGCCATGTTGCCCAGGCTGGTCACGAACTCCTGGGCTCAAGTGATCCTTCTGCCTCAGCCCCCTGAAGTTTTTTTTTTTTTTTTTTTTTTAAAGACAGGGTCTCACTCCATTGCACAGGCGGGAGTGCAGTGGCGAGATCACAGCTCACTGCAGCCTTGATCTCTCAAGCTCAAGTGATCCTCCCACCTCAGCCTCTTAATTTTTTTTATTTTTTGAAGAGATAGAATCTCACTATGTTGCCCAGACTGGTTTTGAACTCCTGGGCTCACAGATTCCTCCCATCTGGGCCTCCCAAAGTGCTGAGATTACAGGCATGAGCAACCATGTCCAGCCATCGTATAGTTTTTGACCATAGTAAACCCTTTTGTACCAGAATTATGGAATGATTACCACAAGGGGGAGTTAGAGGAATTGAATATTGAAGAGTAGTACTAAATGTTAAGTGAAAGAGAATTAATGGTGTCACAATTCTGCTGTTGTACTTCTAATTGCCTGACTTATTTTCTGTTTAATACTTTTGAATAGGATATTGAACGCCAAGTTAGAGAATTGAAAACAAAAATTTCAGCTATGAAAGAAGAAAAAGAACAGCTTAGTGCTGAAAGACAAGAACAAATTAAGCAGAGGACTAAGTTGGAGCTTAAAGCCAAGGATTTACAAGATGAACTAGCAGGCAACAGTGAACAAAGGGTAAGTTAAAATGCTAAAAATGAAAGACATGAATGTTCAGGTGAGTAGGAACTGCAGAAGACAGTCCTTTCTGTGACTGGTATGTCCTGGAATTTTTTTTAAGCTTTGCTATGTTAACATAATTTGTACTCAAGTAACAACTTAGTACTGTCCCTTTGTTACATTTAAAAAGTTTCATGTTACAGGTGGGTTTTCTTATGAAGTTTTTTTCATGAGAAAACGTGCTAGACCTAAATTATGCAAAAATTTTAAAGCAGTTTGCATTTTTACTTATCTTTATTTACAGAAACGTTTATTAAAAGAGAGGCAGAAGCTGCTTGAAAAAATAGAAGAAAAGCAGAAAGAACTGGCAGAAACAGAACCTAAATTCAACAGTGTAAAAGAGAAAGAAGAACGAGGAATTGCTAGGTCTGAGAACTTTCACCAACACTTTAACTTTCTTCATTATATAAAACTAGATAGTCCAAGGAGCTCAATTATATAGTAGCTGCTTTTTACACTTAATTCTTTTTGTATCGTTTCGAAAAATGGCTTTATGTTTCTGTGTACAGTTGACATTATTGGTTACAATTAAACTTGGTTATTATTCTCCTTTCATCCCATTCTCTTCTATTTTGTGTAGATTGGCTCAAGCTACCCAGGAAAGAACGGATCTTTATGCAAAGCAGGGTCGAGGAAGCCAGTTTACATCAAAAGAAGAAAGGGATAAGTGGATTAAAAAGGAACTCAAGTCTTTAGATCAGGCTATTAATGACAAGAAAAGACAGATTGCTGCTATACATAAGGATTTGGAAGACACTGAAGCAAATAAAGAGAAAAATCTGGAGCAGTATAATGTAAGAACATTTATAGCCACTTTGTAAAAATCTTTTAGAAGAGATAAACATGTTTAGTTTTATCTACTTCAAGTTTTGTTTATAAATAAGTCTACATGTGACCTTAAAATATATGACAGATACTTATTTAGAAAAGGCCTGCACAATATACATATAGTTCTCTTTTTTAAGAATGTTCATGTCATTGAGCCTTTATGTAGATTAAGTATATTAAAATGTATGTATGTATTTTTAATTTTTTTGAGATAGGGTCTTGTTGCGTCACCCAATCTGGAGTGCAGTGGTACAAACACAACTCACTGCAGCCTCCACCTTCCAGGCTTAGCGATCCTCTATCCTTAGCCTCCTAACTTGGACCACAAGCATGTATCACCATGCCCAGCAAAATTTTTTTTTGTAGAGACGAGGTCTTGCCATGTAGCCTACGCTGGTCTCGAAATCTTGGGCTTAAGCAATCCTCCCACCTTGGCCTCCCAAACTGCTGGGATTACAGGCGTGAGCCACCATGCCCAGCTTAAAATATGTTTTTATGAATTGGTAGCATGTGTCTTACATACCCTTAATTTTGACAAGATGTCACATATGTCTAAAACAACTTGTAACTTTTTTTTTTTTTTTGAGATGGAGTTTCGCTGTTGTTGCCCAGGCTGGAGTGCAATGGCGTGATCTCGGCTCACTGTAACCTCTGCCTCCTGAGTAGCTGGGATTACAGGCATGCACCACCAAGCCCACTAAGTTTGTATTTTTAGTAGAGATGGGGTTTCTACATGTTGGTCATGCTGGTCTCAAACTCCCAACATCAGGTGATCCACCCGCCTTGGCTTCCCAAAGTGCTGGGGTTACAGGCATGAGCCACTGCGCCTGGCTGCTAGTAACTTTTTTTGGAGACAAGGCTCATTGCAACTTCCACCTCCCAGGTTCAGGCAGTTCTCTGCCTCAGCCTCCCAAGTGGCTGGGATTACAGGTGGCCGCCACCATGCCTGGCTAATTTTTTGTATTTTTGGTAGAGGCGGGGTTTCACCATCTTGGTCAGGCTTGTCTTGAACTCTTGATCTCGTGATCCACCCGCCTTGGGCTCCCAAAGTGCTGGGATTGCAGGCATGAGCCACCATGCCTGGTGTAACTTTTTTTTTTTTAAACTTCATTTTTTGGTATTCCAGCATCATATGTTACATTTAGTTGTTATGTTTCTTTTATCTGCTTTAATCTGGACCAGTTCTTTAGTTTTTTTCTTGACTTTGGGACTTGACATTTTAAATTATTTGTTATAAAGTACATATATTAATATTTATGTACTCATTAATTGTATATTATATGTAATTATTTGTCCCTAATCTCTTCTTTTGGAGACGGAGTCTTGCTCTGTTGCCCAGGCTGGAGTGCAGTGACGTGATCTCGGCTCACTGCAACCTCCACCTCCTGGGTTCAAGCAGTTCTGCTGCTGCAACCTCCGAAGTAGCTGGGACCACAGGCACGTACCACCACGCCTGGCTAATTTTTTGTATTTTTAGTAGAATGGGGTTTCACTGTGTTAGCCAGGGTGGTCTCGATCTCCTGACCTTGTGACCCGCCCGCCTCGGCCTTCCAAAGTGTGGGATTATAGGTGTGAGCCACCATGCCCAGCCCCTAATCTTTTGTAGTGATTTGCCCACTTTAAGTTTTTGGTGACTTACCTTTAAATATATCCAAAACCTCAGTGAAGTTTTAAAGAGCTGTTTTCTTTGTACTCATATTCTCACTGTACATAAACAAAAAAAAAATATAGTGGGGAGCAAACGCAACAGCCTCTGTAAGCATAAAAAACATAAAAAATTGCCAGGAGTGTAGCCTGCTGTTTTTGGAAGTCCAGTCGTGCTGTGGGCTTTAGTTATGGTACTTTGTGGAGGGAGTGGAAAACCTGGGTTAATTTAGGTAGTTCTTTATATGGTTAGTGTAGTCTGAACTGTAATAGTTACACCTCCTTTCTTGAAATAAAATGTATTTTCTCTTGAGTTTATGAAACTAACCTCAGCAGAAGCCCTTTTTGAAGGAGCCTCCAGTGAGAGTATTCATTTTTTGTCATGCTTGAAGTTCATTTATTTTCCAATATTCCAGTCACACTTTTGGTTATCAAAATGACCACTTGTGAAGATGAAGCCTTTCCTTTGGACAGAGATGATTTTATAGTGCTGATTGTATTATGTAAATAGCCTTTTGCCTCTTGGTATAATTCTAAATTAATTTTTCCACAGTGTATTTTTAAAACCTGCAGTATGAAAAATAAAATGTAGTTTTGGTGGTTTTATTATGCTTTATTATGGTTCATTTATGTGATATATATCATACATACTTACCAAACTAAGTTTTTAGACTTTTCTAACTTATGTCAGTGGTATCTTGGCCCTAGCAACTGCTGTGGAGAAGGGGAAGCTTTTGGATAGTTTCAGTGCAAACTAAATACTAAATGTTTTTTCTTTTCCAGGTGGTGTAATGCATTTCAAGTCTACAAAACGTATTTTGAATTTAATATAGGTAGCTTACTTTATTACTGGTTCTGAGTAGCATCATGGTTTCAGAAAGGGAACCATTAGTGTTCAGATACACCTGGAAAAAAAACAAAGTACGTAGGACTTTAGAAATACTGTAAGCTGTAATGCTGGTTAGTAACACAACAGTCTTTGAATTGTTTAGGACTGTGAAAGCTGAAACATTAATTTAGGAAAACTGACTCTTCAAGATTTACATTCTTCTTTTAGCATGTGTTCATATTAACCTGGGGATGAATTAAGTAATTGCTGTAGAAAAGTTAAATTTTACATAGGGAATTTGTTTACTCTTATGGTTTCAGATACCACTGAGTCCCAAGTGCCTCATGTGTAGAATTAAAGGGTTTAATTATCCAAGATGTTGAAAGTCATTCTGATTATCCAAGATTTTTTTTTGAGACAGAGTCTTGCTCTGTCACCAGGGTAGAGTATAGTGGCACAATCTCGGCTCACTGCAACCTCTACCTCCCGGGTTCAGGTGATTCTCCTACCTTAGCCTTACCGAGTAGCTGGGACTACAGGCACGCGCCACCACGCCTGGCTGATGTTTGTATTTTTAGTAGAGATGGGGTTTCACGATGTTGTCCAGGATGATCTTGATCTCTTGACCTCATGATCTGCCCACCTCAGCCTCCCAAAGTGCTGGGATTACAGGTGTGAGCCACTGCGCCTGGCCGATTATCTAAGATTTTATGACTCAGTAGTAACATTGACTTTTTGTCAGTGGAATTAGTAGTAACATTGACTTTTTGTCCATTAAAATTTTGGACAAAAAGTCAGTGTTACTACTGAGGACTAGTAATTGTTAGTACTCTGTGGGACTATTTACAATTACTTTGATATCTGACAATAATTAGTTATAATACAGACAGATGAATATAATCAACTCATGAAGCAGTTTGAAGCCCTTCCCCTAAAGGATGATCTTCAGATTTATTTTGCTTGTTTTATTGCTTCCCAAAAAGGCAAGGATTTTTGTTTGCTTTGGTCTTTGATGATTCCCCAGCTCTTATAAGAATGCCTGGTACATACTAGGCTTTTGGTAACTTCACTAAGTGGATGAAGTGTCAGCTTCCTTAAACTCTAGCCAATTAGGATATTGGATTTTTTTTTTTTCAGCTCAGTATAATTTACTAAATTAATACAGTTCATTAACTCTCCTTAAGGAAACAGCATCTTACGTTAGATTCTTCTAGATTTGTTATAGGTTCTGCCAAGATTTTAAACTCATTTTTCTTGAATGTAAAATAGTTGAAAATAGTTTTTGTGTTCTGTTGTGTGTGTGTGTGTGTAGAAGGGGCAGTATGAAAGTGTATAATGCACTATTATGAGAACTTAGAATTTTTTTTCTACAATTCTGGAGTGTATATTATAGAAATAGGAAGATTTAGATCACTAATGAACAAATTAACTTTTATTTTAGCAACATGTTTTAGAGTATTTAGTGGTTTTTGTTTTCTGGTGGTATTCTCATTTGCCTAAAGACAACTTTTAAAAACTGAAGGCCGGGCGCAGTGGCTCAAGCCTGTAATCCCAGCACTTTGGGAGGTCGAGACGGGTGAATAACGAGGTCACGAGATCGAGACCATCCTGGCTAACACGGTGAAACCCCGTCTCTACTGAAAAAATACAAAAAACTAGCTGGGCGAGGTGGCGGGCGCCTGTAGTCCCAGCTACTCGAGAGGGTGAGGCAGGAGAATGGCGTAAACCCGGGAGGTGGAGCTTGCAGTGAGCCGAGATTGTGCCACTGCACTCCAGTCTGGGAGACACAGCGAGACTCTGTCTCAAAAAAATAATAATAATAATTCTTTAATGTATTCAAAAAACAAGATTTAGTAGTGGGTCTAATAACTACCATAAGTTTGAAGTACTGATACATGTAAACTATTTTGAGATCTGATAAGTGTAATCTAATATGAAAATAGCTCTTCTTTTGGTAAAGTCACAGGTACTAATACTACTACTGTGGTTCTTGTCCTGTTCATTATAGAAGGAAATGTTAAATCTCATTTTGAGGTTAATAAAAATAAAGATGTAAATTTTTTTCCTATTCGAATCACAGATCTTCTGAATTTTATCTTTGGAATTCAGGTTAAGAAACCTCCAGTATATAAGTTTACCTGCCCTCAATTTTTTTTTTTTCTCTTTATTTGTTAAAGAAAGCAGGTAAACCCGTCTCCCCCCAGGCTTTGTTTCTGTATATGTACATTTTGTTGTGGTTTTGAACCATCTGAGAATAAGTAAAACATGACACTTCATCTCTAAAATTTAAGCATGCATCTCCTAACAATAAGAACATTCTTTTGTATAGCCACAGTATCATTGTTACACCTAAGAAATTTAACATTAACCTAATATCTTCTAAAAGTATCCATATTCAAGCTTTGTTTTTCTAAAATATTTTTCTATCTAGGATTCAATCAAGTATGCATGTAGTGTCTTCTCTTTAGATTCTTTAAATATAAGACAGTTACTCCTCCCTTCTCCCCACCTAGAAAAATCCAGAAAAGTTCCATTTTCTGGATTTGTCTTCTTGCTTCCTCATCGTTTATTGTTGACATGAATGTATATACTTATGGTGTCATATAATGTGTCTCATTGTTAGCGATACTAGGTTTGATCACCTGCAGATCTCTCCATTGTAAAGGTACCCCTTTTGCCCCTTTGTAGTTTAATAATATGTGAGATTATTCTTCAAGACTACATGAATGTCAAGTTCTCCCAACAACTTTACCAGTTGCGTTAGCACCTTTGTTGACTCTTGCCTGAATCAGTTATTACACTGGGAATTTAAAAATGGTGATTCTTGAATTCTGTTATTGCTACTGCATTTATTAGCTGTCACTCTTCTGTAGAGAAGAGTCTCCACTCTTCATTTTTTAAAAAGTATCAACTGTGATTCATGGATTATTTTTTAAAAAATAAAATGTGTTATTATACTGGTATTGTTATTTTGATGCTCAAATTTTCCTAAATAGGGCCAGTGGAAATTTCAGGCTAGGTCCTGTGTCCTACTAATATGTCCTCATTAGTCTTCAATACTTCCTTGCTCTCTGGTAGATGTTCAGGTTCAACTGCGAGTTTTTGTTAGAAAAAAAAAAAACAAAAACTGCGAGTTTTGTCTGGGCACAGTGGCCTGACCCTGTAATCCCAGATACTTGAGAGGCTGAAGCAGGAGGGTCACTTGAGGCCGGAAGTTTGAGAACCACCTGGGCACATAGCAAGACCTGGCCTCTACAAAAAAGGTGTGGTGGTACACACCTGTTCCTAGCCACTCAGGAGGCTGAAGCAGGAGGATCACTTGAATCCAGGAGTTTGAGGCTGCAGTGAGCTGTGGCCACAGCACTGCACTCCAGCCTGAGCAAGAGAGTAAGACTCTGTCTCAAAAAAAAGGAAATTTTAGCATTGAAAAGCAATTTTTTCAGGGAGGTTTAAATTCTTTTCAATTCTCATTATGTACTTAAAGCCTGCAGGTTAGTTTTTTTCATTATAAGTCAATTTATCATTGAATAAAAGTTATACAGACCTATCACATATGTTTTGTTTATAGGTGACCAGGTCAGTCATCGAGGTGCTCTAACTGGGGGTTATTATGACACAAGGAAGTCTCGACTTGAATTGCAGAAAGATGTTAGAAAAGCAGAAGAAGAACTAGGCGAACTTGAAGCAAAGCTCAATGAAAACCTGCGCAGAAATATTGAAAATATCTTTTTGTTTTGTGCATAATGATAGATATTGTGGGGAAAGAACTGTGTTTTGGTTGCCATATATAATCTTTTGTTTTTTCACATATATATTAAAACTTTGTGTTTTAAGTTCAGGGCTTATGTTTGTTTAGCTTTTGAAGACTAAAAGCTATTTTAATGATTAAGTGTTAAGTAGCTAATACCATCAAGTCACTTGGAAGAAAAGAACCCATAGAACACCAAAATACAGGTTGTATCAGGCAAAGAAAGAGGAAACTGAGAAGGATCAGTTAGTGAATTGTATAAGGAAAACCTTGGTAGTGTTTTTTGATTTTTTTTCTTGTTAAATTTATGTAAGCAAGAGATATGTTTTAAGGAAGAGAGTGAGAGGCATCAGTAATGTTACATACTGCTTAGAAGTCAAATATGTAAGGACCGGCAGTTCATTGTACTTGTGTGGTGGCACAGGCCTGTAGTCCCAGCTACCTGGGAGGCTGAGGCAGGAAGACCACTTGAGCCTGGGAGGTGGAGGTTGCAGTGAGCTGAGATCGCACCACTGCACTCCAGTCAGGGTGACAAAGTGAGACCCTGTCTCAAAAAAAAAAAAGGGGGGGGTGGCAGGGGAGGGTGAAAAATGTTAGATTTTACTGTCGTGAAGTTATTTGGTGCAAATTTAATGTCAGTGGAGGAAACGGCTGTCAGATAACCAAGTCTGAGTAACCATAGTCGTTAGTTCAGTTCACAAATGAAACAATTGTGTGTGTGGATTTTCTTAAAATCACCATGGTGCTTTGGTATAAGACAAAAGTACTTTATGTGTGCTTTCCGTTTCGCCAAACAAGTTGAAAAATACAGGTACTTGAGCATCAAGAATAGATATAAAGTTAGTGGTTTTTACTGCTTCAAGTGAAACTGGCATTTTTTAAAAACTGCAGATATATACCTTCTGTGCCATCAGTGCAAGCACAGAAAAATAAAAATAAGCACCTGAGCTTTGACCTTGTAGGGGTCTGCATATCACACTTTAAAGAACTGCCTGAATTTGGCAAGATGTTGACAGAGTATGGGGAAATACTGAGGAAAAGGAGGATGTTGACAGTGTGTACCAGCTGTCTTCCTGTGTTTGATAATCCAGCCAGATTGAATTATTTCTTCCACATATGGCAAGAACTACTCTTCATACATAAACCCTTAACATAGTGCCTTAAGCATAGTAACAGTAAACATTTGTTGAATGAAAAGATACTTAAAAGTATGTAATATTGTTAGATTTCACCTAGCCTCCTTTATGGTTTTCCAAGAATTTGTTTTGTATAGCTTTTAGTAAAACAGTATACATGTTATTCTGAGAGTGAAATGGTGGGGTGTGAAATGTTTCAAGCTTCTTTATGATTCAACGCATTTTGGGTAATACAGTTCAGCATTGTTTTGGTCCATAAATTTGAGGACATGAATGTTATTTGGGGGTAAAGAAAAGGAAGGGATATATGGTGTTGTGTCTAAAAAGAATTCAGAACATGATACATTTACCACCTGGAGATAATTTTCCTTAGCCTTGTATATGGATTAATAATGAAATTGATCAGTTGATGAACCAAATGCAACAGATTGAGACCCAGCAAAGGAAATTTAAAGCATCTAGAGATAGCATATTATCAGAAATGAAGATGCTAAAAGAGAAGAGGCAGCAGTCAGAGAAAACCTTCATGCCTAAGGTTCGTAAGTATATCTTTGGTTATAGACCAACTGTTACAGATTAATGTGGATCATACATTATATGGGTTATCCTTGAATTTTATGCTTCATTTTTGTTTGGACCCATACTTTTTTTTTTTTTTTTTTGAAGACAGAGTCTTACTCTGTCTCGCCCTCGCCCAGGCTGCAGTGCAGTGTGTGTTCTCAGCTCACTGCAGCCTCCACCTCCTGGGTTCAAGCGATTTTCCTGCCTCAGCCTCCTGAGGAGCTGGGACTACAGACGTGCACCACCACATCCGGCTAATTTTGTGTTTTTAGTAGAGATGAGGTTTCACCATGTTGGCCAGGCTGGTCTCAAACTCCTGACCTCAGGTGATCCGCCTGCCTTGCCTTCTCAAAGTACTGGAATTACAGGTGTGAACCACTGTGCCCAGGCTGGACCCATACTTTTGGATGTCTGTTTTACCATTCTTAAATGCATCTGTTTTACCATTCTTAAACCCATGAATACCCAGAGTCTCCTGTTGTTGGCACGTTCAAACTTTCCACCTGCATTGAACAAATAGGCATTTGAAGCTATGACATAACTGATGGTCAGTTTTTGTCAGTAACCATTTTTATCTGAAGCACAGTGGAATTAGCTGAATATTTGATTCCATTTTGTCCAGACTGTATTAAAATTAGAAAGCAAACTTATGTGGTAGTATGTTATTGGTCTCATAAACTTGACAGTTTTGACCAATCTTTTACGTAGTATAATACTGAAACTACAAAGAGCTTAAAAAAAAAAAAAAGATGTGCCTGCAATTGTACCATCCCAACACATTCTGACAACTTTTGGTTTTTTTGGGGATGGAGTCTCGCCCTGTCACCTAGGCTGGAGTGCAATGGCATGATCTCGGCTCACTGCAACCTCTGCCTCCCGGATTCAAGTGATTCTCCTGCCTCGGTCTCCCGAGTAGCTGGGATTACAGGCACACGCCTCCATACCCAGCTAATTTTTGTATTTTTAGTAGAGACGGGTTTCACCATGTTGGCCAGGCTCATCTCAAACTCTGGACCTTGTGATCCACCCGCCTTGGCCTCCCAAAGTGCTGGGATTACAGGTGTGAGCCACCGTGCCCGGCAACTTTTTGTTATAGTATGCCTGAAGATTTTTGTATAGTTTAATCATGGAATATGATCTGGCCCACCCTGCCCCACCTATACTATTACATCGTATGTTTTTTGTTGCTAGAGTTCTAATTACCACATTAATAGGCACCTAATATTTGAGTTATGTCTTTGTATTTAGCTCAGATCAAATATAGATTGTTTTAAAATTTTCACTATAAGTAATCCAGAGGCTAATACCTTACTAATAAACGGATAACGTCATATAGCAACGTAGCTTACAGAGTTTGGAGGCAAGCTTGCATGCTATGGAGTCTACCAGAGAATCATTGAAAGCAGAACTGGGAACTGATTTGCTTTCTCAACTGAGTTTGGAAGATCAGAAGAGAGTAGATGCACTGAATGATGAGATTCGTCAACTTCAGCAGGTAAGTACATGGCTGACTGGAAAAAAAATTCATTAGTAATTGGCTATTGTGAAAAGTGCCTTTCTTGCTAACTAGGGGAATATGAAAGAAAAGAACTGAGAAAATATTAAAATGAGGCTTGGACTTTTAATACCCATAGGAGTAAATAAGATTTTGTTTTTCTAAACCGTTCTAGCTAGGTTAGGATTATACAAGAAATTTTCATTTCCTTACAGTTTAGTTAATTAGCATTACTTATTAGTTGTAAGTATTGCTATTAGTAAGTTTGAGCTTGTTAAGACTTACCATATTTATCTTACTACCTTTACATATTTAATATTTTAATTAAACATTTGAATTTTTTTTTTTTGAGACAATTCTTGCTCTGTCGCCCAGGCTGGAGTGCAGTGGCATGATCTCAGCTCACTGCAAGCTCCACCTCCCGAGTTCACACCATTCTCCTGCCTCAGCCTCCGAGTAGCTGGGACTACAGGCGCCCGCCACCACGCCTAATTTTTTTTTTTTTTTTTTTTTAGTAGAGACAGAGTTTCACCGTGTTAGCCAGGATGGTGTCGATCTCCTGACTTTGTGATCCGCCCGCCTCGGCCTCCCAAAGTGCTGGGATTACAGGCTTGAGCCACCGTGCCCAGCCTTTAGTAGATTTTTAAAACTGCATAGATGTAAACCACCAACACTGATTCTAAAAAATGAAAAGCAGTTAAAGAAACCGTTTTTGACAGCAAGCATTACAAAAAGAGCCAGCCACAAAAATTTAACATTATGAATTGATAAGAGAAAAATGAAGAAAGTATAGGGCTTTTTTGAAGAATATAATGTATTAAACTTTATTTCAGCTCAATGTGAGCACAAGTACTAGAGAGGACAGCAGATGAGCACTCTTCCTGTGTGTGAAATGTACATGCTTATGTAGACTTTTTCTTAATTCTAGGAAAACAGACAGTTGCTAAATGAAAGAATTAAATTAGAAGGTATTATTACTCGAGTAGAGACTTATCTCAATGAGAATCTGAGAAAACGCTTGGACCAAGTAGAACAGGTGTGTATGTGTTTTTTTTTAAGGGCTCCTTGGTGGCCATGACCTACTGCAAGTGGTTATATCAGAGGCTCTGATTGAAAGCAAGGGCTTTGGGGACAGAAAGCTTAGTGTCTGTGGGCCTTGGGTTGGAATTCTGCCACCTAGTGTGTGATTTTGGACAAGTCACTATTTCTAAGCCTCAGTTTCTTATGTAAATTAAATATTATCATAGTTGTTTTATATAATTGCTATCGTGGCACATTCTAAGTACTTAGTAAATGTTATAGTTTTTCAGTGGTGTTTAGATGCTTAGAAATTTTCTAGTAATTATGTCTTTTTCTTCCCTTTAATGGATACTTTAAGTATATTTCTAGTTATATGAAGTATTTATATTTTTTGGTTTTCTTGAATGTTTGTTCAGACAATAGCTGTAGAAAATGTTGGCAGTCATAACATTTGAAACTAATGGAATTTACATTTTTTTATTATAGGAACTTAATGAGCTGAGAGAGACAGAAGGGGGTACTGTTCTCACTGCCACAACATCAGAACTTGAAGCCATCAATAAAAGAGTAAAAGACACTATGGCACGATCAGAAGGTGAATTTTTATGTAGTAAAATTTTGTTTACATACATGTTTTATAAAATTGTTTACTGCAGAATAAAATGTCCAAATAGGCAGAAGCATATAATAATGATTTTTTGTTTTCCATTATAAACAATGTATAGTGAATGGAATTTAGTAAGTTGACTATAAATAGGAAGTTTTTACTGAAATGTTTGTGACAATTGAGACCATAAATGATTCATTTTGTTGATAAAATATGAAATACTTGACTCAAGTTTCTCTTATCACTTAGTTGCTAAGAAAATAACTTTAGTTTATAAGCATTAGCATTGAATAATGAAAATTATATATTTGAGTGACTTATATATATACTTCTAATTTTGTACTGATTTAAGGGGTTCATAAATTTTCACAGAAAATTTTAAACACTGACAAAAACCTAAAACCTATTTTGGTAGGTTTGATCATAAAAATCTTTACTCAAATAACGCTGTAACACTGGCTTTAAACTAGATATTATAGCCTAATTTTGTTTTTCGCCCCATCTTAGATTTGGACAATTCCATTGATAAAACAGAAGCTGGAATTAAGGAGCTTCAGAAGAGTATGGAGCGCTGGAAAAATATGGAAAAAGAACATATGGATGCTATAAATCATGATACTAAAGAACTGGAAAAGATGACAAATCGGCAAGGCATGCTATTGAAGAAGAAAGAGGAGTGTATGAAGAAAATTCGAGAACTTGGATCACTTCCCCAGGAAGCATTTGAAAAGTACCAGACACTGAGCCTCAAACAGGTTGGTTTTAAATTTGAAGTCTTGTTACAAATTGCTTGGTATGTAAATTTATTTATATGAATACATATTTTCTCTTTTTAGTTGTTTCGAAAACTTGAGCAGTGCAACACAGAATTAAAGAAGTACAGCCATGTTAACAAAAAGGCTTTGGATCAGTTTGTAAATTTCTCAGAGCAGAAAGAAAAGTTAATAAAGCGACAAGAAGAGTTAGATAGGGGTTACAAATCGATCATGGAGCTGATGAATGTACTTGAACTTCGGAAATACGAAGCTATTCAGTTAACTTTCAAACAGGTATGTTTTGCTTTGTAGTAAAAATATACACAGGACAAAAGCTTCAGCTCTTACTCAGTTTGTAAAGATTTTAAAGCGTTTTTCCTCATTAACAGGTGAATCTAATACATGTGAACAAATCTAGCATATAGGTTTACAGTAACTTGAATGTTTTACACAGCCTTTAGAAGGATCCAGTCTGTTATCCTTGTTAAGATTAAAAAATAATTGGTAGCTTTTAAATATTTTACTTGTTAATGTATAATTCTACCTAAGCAAAATTTATATTTCAGTCTTTTTTTTTTTTTTTTTTTTTAAGGTATCCAAGAACTTCAGTGAAGTATTCCAGAAGTTAGTACCTGGTGGCAAAGCTACTTTGGTGATGAAGAAAGGAGATGTGGAGGGCAGTCAGTCTCAAGATGAAGGAGAAGGGAGCGGTGAGAGTGAGAGGGGTTCTGGCTCACAAAGCAGTGTCCCATCAGTTGACCAGTTTACTGGAGTTGGAATTAGGGTAAAATACCTTTATATTCCATTTTCCTCAGAGCATTACCATAATAGAATTTATAGTATCTTTTGCATATCTGATTGGTGCATTATATGCAAGTTACTTTTGGAAGATGGTGGTGGTTCTACCCTTTAGGATATTAACTCATGTGTTTATTCTTAGGTGTCATTTACAGGAAAACAAGGTGAAATGAGAGAAATGCAACAGCTTTCAGGTGGACAGAAATCCTTGGTAGCTCTTGCTCTGATTTTTGCCATTCAGAAATGTGACCCAGCTCCATTTTACTTGTTTGATGAGATTGACCAGGCTCTGGATGCTCAGCACAGAAAGGCTGTGTCAGGTACAGTTCAGTACAGTTTTGGTTTTGTATTTAACAATAAGCTGGTAATATTTGCTGATACACGTATGAAAAAATCAAACTCAGGCAGTTTTGAATTTTAGTAAGAGTAAAGATAGTTGCTTTTTAAATTTTCAGCTCTGCTGAAAAGAGAAATTTGTTAAAGCATTATTTCCTTTTTACAGATATGATTATGGAACTTGCTGTACATGCTCAGTTTATTACAACTACTTTTAGGCCTGAACTGCTTGAGTCAGCTGACAAATTCTATGGTGTAAAGTTCAGAAATAAGGTAATTTTTTAAGTTTGTAATTAATTTGTTGAATTCTGATTTTATGTTAAATAGTGAAAGAAAACTTAGAAAGTCTTTGCTTATCTGATGTCTTTTTAAAGAAAAAACTTTTCCTTCAAATAACTATGAAGTTTAGCAATAGTTTATGGCATTGCATTCGTTTTATTTTCATTGGCATTAGCAAACCATATCTTTCTATCCAGTCTATTCAGTGCTTCTGTAATGCACAATCTTTAACAATTACATATGTTCATGTGTATGGACTGCATAGCTCTTCCTGGGTGTCTTCCTAATCTTAACATTATTGATGAAATAGCAAAGTAATAGAAAGTGAACAAAAGGTAGTTTAGATGTTTAGGCATGGTATGTCTTCAGAGCATTAAAATACATATTTTTTAAATCCATGCATTGAACAAACACCACTGTAAATAAAGGTTTTATAAGTCAGTGCTTCAGAATTATTTTACTTCATATGTAAAATATAGGTGATAGGCTGTGCGCAGTGGCTGACGCCTGTAATCCCAGCACTTTGGGAGGCCAAGGCAGGTGGATCACCAGGTCAGGAGTTTGAGACCAGCCTGGCCAGTATGGAGAAACCCTGTCTCTACTAAAAATACGAAATTAGCTGGGCATGGTGGTGTGAGCCTGTAGTCCCAGCTACTTGGGAGGCTGAGGCAGAAGAATTGCTTGAATTTGGGAGGCGGAGGTTGCAGTGAGCCAAGATCGTGCCACTGCACTCCAGCCTGGGCGACAAGAGCAAGACTCCATCTCAAAAAAAAAAAAAAAAAAAGAAAAATTTAAAAATGTAGGTGATGGGCTGTATATATTACCCTATACAATGCAAACAGATGTATTTAACAGATTTTGTTTTTAACATTTATTCTTCAGGTTAGTCATATTGATGTGATCACAGCAGAGATGGCCAAAGACTTTGTAGAAGATGATACCACACATGGTTAATTGGAAAATACTACCTACTGGTTTGGGAGATGTGTATAGTAATGATTCTCATACCCAGGAACTGTGAATTTAAACCTAAATATTTGGCCATTATTAATAGTTTTCAGACTTAAAGCATCATAGTCCTTTTATATTTGTCTTTGTATTTTATAAGATACTCTGTAATGTCATGTTTGTACTTATAGTTTAAGAATTTTATTTCCTGTACAACTTTTTGTAAAATGTCCTGCTATTTTAAATCTTTTGAAACATGCTAAATATTCTTTCCTAATTGTTTTATCACTTATACTGCCTTTTTTATAGCTTCAATTAAATAATTGGTTTATGACTAATTTAGTGTTTTATGTGGCTTTTCATTTGTCATAGTCTTTTCCAGTGAGAACACTAATCAGATTCGATGTAAGGCCTCATTTTAACTTAATCACCTCTTTAAAAGGCCTGTCTCCAAATACAGTTACATTTGAGGTATTGAGGGTTAGGACTTCAACATGTGAATTTGGGAAGGGAAGCACAAAATCAGCCCCTACCAACCATAGTATATTTATCATTGATATATTGCTATCAACTAAACTCAAGATTTCATTCAGATTTGACTAGTTTTTCTACTAAGGCCCTTTTCCTTTTGTAGGATCCCACAGAGGATATACATTTACTTACATCTCTTCTAGTCTGTGAGAGTTTCTGTCATTGTTTATTATATCTTGACAATTTTGAGGAATATTCAGATGTTTTGTAGAATGTCCCTCAAATTGGGTTTGATATTTTTCTCATGGTTAGATTGGGGCTAATACCACAGAAGTGAAGTATTCTCATTACCTCATATAATAGTACATATTAACATGCTTTATCACTGATGATATTTACCTCGATCACCTACCCAACCTTGTATTTGCCAGTTTTCTTCATTGTGAGGTTACATTTTTTCCGCTTTCCGTACTCTTTTTCTTTGAAAGTAGGTCTTGAAGTGCAGCCCTCACTGTGGGTCTCCTGTGACCCTGGAAGACTACCTTAATAGTCCTTGTAGCTTTTTGTAGATTGACATTTTCCACATAGACAGTCATGTCATTTGCAAGAAAGAGGCAGTTTTATTTCTTCCTTTTGAAATATTTACCTTTAATTTCTTTTTCTTGTTGATTTCCCCTGGCCTCAGTTTATACTTTTTATCTGTAGGGGAATTTGTTAGGAGCTACTCTTCCATCATTGGAAACCAGAAATACCTAGAGAGATACTTTTAAAATAAAGAAATAGTAATGGGACTTTAAATCAAATTTTAAAATGTGTGTTTACTTTGGGTTTTCATTTTGACTGAATCTTTAGAGTTTAAATGTTCGGTGTATTATTTATACTTTATAGCTTTGCTGTAATATAACTGATCTATAATAGATAATTTGGTATATGTTCTATCTACGACTCCATTCAAAGGGTTATGTAACTAGAATATCTTTCTAGTATTTCTACCATTTTTCTTACACATATCCCCAAGAATTTTTCTTAAACATCTACCTAAGAATATTCATCATGAATGCTTGGTGTATAGTTTATAATTTGTAGATTTCCTCTGATATGACTAACCCCTTATAATACAGAATTTGGTGTAAGGTAAGTTCCAAGATTCAATTCAAAGGATGTTACAGACATAGCATCATTCTAAAACTTAATATTATTCTTAAGTGTTTCCCAAAAGATATTAGTATGACGAAATGCCAGTAAATTTATAATAATAAAGCACCTAATAATGAAACAATAAATTTTTGTAAAAGCCTATATTCTTTGCGATACCTTAGTCATGAGTTGTTAATTCTAATGAAACTGAATAGAAAAATGTGACAATCCTGAGCATACTTAACCCAGAAACTTAGAAGGACAGACATTTACCCAAGGAGTTAGCCAATGATGCATAAAATCTAAGTGCTTCTCTTTGGCTGGAGAGTCCTTTCCTCAGAGTAGTACTGATTCTTCCACTTGCAGATTTTGTTAATACTGTCACAAATGCATTACATTCACCACAGTGGAATTGAAGAACATACATTTTAAGAGATGGGGGGTCTCATCCCATCACCCAGGCTGGAGTGCAGTGGCAGGATCACAGCTCACTGCAATCTTGAACTCCTGGGCTCAGGTGATCTTCCACTTTGGCCTGCCAATATTAATATTTTGGGGCATTTCCTTCAAATCTTCAGAAAAAGTTTTGTGGTTTATTTTTATGTTTATTCTAGGTGCATAATTTTATATCTTAGATTTTTAATTTAGTAATACAGTATAAAATATTGCTGTTTTAATGCTTTGGAAACAAAATTTTAATAGCGATATGCTATTCTGTCAAGTAGAAGTAGCATAATTTACTTAACTATCCCACTAGATTGTTTTCTTTTGGCTAAAGTACCAAAAATGAATTTAAAAAATCAACACTTTTATACATAAAACTCCCAAAATTTAGGATTATTTTCCCAGCGTAGAGTCCTAGAAGTCAGTGTGAATATTTGTAAGGATTTTAATTTACTTTTTATGCTCTTTTTGAAAAAGATGTAAAACATGAAATGGTTAATATGTAGGTTAAGGATTTGTCTACTCAAAATTAGTGAAAAAGTAATTTTATAAAATGATGCAATTTATAGAAATAATTTTACTGTGAATAATATAGTCAGTAGAAAATGGAGAAATAGAAAGGGAGGATTCCTTTTTTAAAAGTAAGCAATAGCAAACTTGTCTTTGGAAATATTTAGTTAATTCTTAAAAAGTGTTTCTCTTTTAATAACTCTCTAGGCCAGGTGCAGTGGCTCACGCCTGTAATCCCAGCACTTTGGGAGGCCGAGGCGAGCAGATCACTTGAGGTCAAGAGCTCAAGACCAGCCTGACCAACATGGTGAAACCCCATTTCTACTAAAAATACAAAAATCAGCTGGGCGAAGTAACACGGGCCTATAGTCCCAGCTACTCGGGAGACTGAGGCAGGAGAATTGCTTGAACCTGGGCAGTGGAGGTTGCAGTGAGCTAAGATTGCGCTACAGCACTCCAGCCTAGGAGACAGCGAGACTCCATCCGAAAACAAAACAAACTCTAAATAAAAGGACTAGTACTTTGATTCAGCTTCCCACAAAGGGAGAATACTAGTGTTTAAGTAAAGTGAACAGTATTCAGATTTCACTATCACCCAGTAGATCGTCTTACACAGGATACAGCTTCCAGTTGTTGGGTGCTTGCTACAGAGGTACAGAGATTATGTTCTGTCTTAAAGATTTAAGAACTTTTCATAAAAATTCTGCTAGGTATAGTGGCTCATACCTGTAATACCAACATTTTTAGAAGCTGGAGCAGGAGGATCATTTGAGCCAGGAGTTTGAGACCAGCCTGGGCAACATAGTGAGATCCCATTTCTACAAAAAATTTAAAAATTACCTGGGTGTGGTGGCCACACCTGTAGTCCCAGCTACTTGGGAGGCTGAGGTGGAAGGGGTCACTTGAGCCTGGGAGGAAAAAGTGTTACATTTACGAAATACTATTCATTCTGTATCTTTTTACTCAGGCATATCTCCTTATCCTGGAATGCTAATAATCCAGGTTTGTGTATTTATGCTTAGTCCGCTATCTTAAATGGAGGGAAGTGTAAATGGAACCAGTTGCACATTAACGCAGTTTAAATGGTAACAGCAAAGTGTTAGCCTGCTGCTTAGGAGGATCTTTCCTTCCCTACTTGGTATTTTCCTTTTTTTTTTTTTTTTTTTTAAGAGAAGACAGGACCTCACTCTTGTTCAGGCTGGAGTGCAATGGCTCAATCATAGCTCAATGTCATCTCCAACTCCTGGGCTCAAGGGTTCCTCCCACCGCACCCTCCCAAGTAGGTAGCTAGAATTACAGGTATGTGCTTTTCTTTTAAGTAGATAAGGGTCTCACTTTACCCAGGCTGGTGTTGAACTCCTGGCCTCAAGTGATCATTGGCTTCCCAAAGTGTTAGAATTACAGGTGTGAGCCACTGCACCTGGCCCTTGTTTTAAAGTTATATGTAATTAGGTGGAAATTATCTTCTCCTTTTTTGTGAATATTGAGCAACAGTGATATCCTTGTTTCCTTAGTTTTATCTTTTGGAAGAAACAATTATTCTTTTCATCCGAGAAAAGTAAGAACAGAATCTATTTCAATTGCCTATTGCCTAGAAGTATTAACAGCTTTTATTTTGGTCACAGTAAGTAATTCTTGATGAAGTGGGTTAACATTTCTAGAAGGAATATTATTTTGGCAAGAGCTCAGATTTCACAAAACATGTCTTCTTAGAAATGGCTTTCGGCCAGGCATGGTGGCTCATGCCTGTAATCCCAACACTTCAAGAGGCCGAGGTGGGTGGATCATGAGGTCAGGAGATCAAGAGCATTCTGGCTAACACGGTGAAACCCATCTCTACTAAAAATACAAAAAATTAGCCGGACCTGGTGGCATGCACCTGTAGTCCCAGCTACTCAGGAGGCTGAGGCAGGAGAATGGCGTGAACCCAGGAGGCGGAGCTTGCAGTGAGCTGAGATTGTGTCACTGCACTTCAGCCTGGGCGACTGAGCGAGACTCCGTCTCAAAAAAATAAAAAAATGGCTTTCATATCTACACTTTGTCTAAGTTAGTACTTCACAGGATATATTTAGATCCAGAGATACAACGTTTTTTAGTTTAATACTTTAATTTTATAGATGAGGAAATTTGAAGTCCAGATTAGGTAAGTGACCCAAATGAATAAGTGAGCACACACAGCTTAATAACCCACAGAGCCAGAACCAAGTCCTGGCTTTCCTGCTTCAGAAGTAGGACAGACTCTTTAATACATTAGCTCTTTCTTTCTCCCAAGTTAACTATGTAAATGGGAGAGAGAGAGCACAGTGTTGACTGATCCTCCACATGACACAGAGAAATAGATTTTAAGGGCACAATTCACCATCTCTGGTTTTCTTTGCCCTTTGCCTCCCCACTCCTGTTTTCTTTAGACCGCACCTATTTAGGTATACTCCGATCACTTGTGTCAGTGTCCTAGGGGGACTGGATTACTCCTGGCTGCCAGTCTTCTGCATGAAAGATGCCAGCGTTGCTCCATAAATCTGCCACCATGTGGCACTCACTCTCCCCTTCCTAGAGACAGAGAGTCTCCTGGGTGTAAGAGCCCTTGTGGCAGCCAGTAATTGCACAGGGACATGAGGCAGCCTAGCGATTAGGTTTGCAAGAAGCACATGGATATATTTCCTCTCTCAAGTCCTCACATTGGTTGGTATAAGTCTATTGGAAAGAGACATTAAGATTTGAATGTTATCTCATGGATACTGTGTGTTCAGATCAGTGCCTGGAAAGTTGATTATCAA